GGAATCTAACCGAGGCTTTCCATTTTCTTTTTATATTCTTCCGTTTACGATCTATCGCGTAGGCTTGTAATAGAATTGCAACGTAATGGCATTACTCTATTTAATTTTCGGCCATTTAGGAAACCACGATTTTCATTTTTTTCATACCATTTATTTATTTTAACTTACTCACTTGTGCAATTACGTCATTTGTAATCGCCGCATTGTTTACTGTGTGTGCAGAAAAGTTCATCGTCCGAATTTCAAGACAAAAAAGCAATAGCAAATGATCGAAGAACTAAGCCGTGATTTTTTTTGATACGAAATTATATATTTAAAAAAACTTAACTTACAAGAAATGGAAATAATGCGATAAAAATAGCAATTCAATTTTCGCATTCTGTGTGTATAAATTCTTAAAGTATCTCGATTATAACAAATAATTACACAATAGTGAAAAGAATTATTCAGTTCAGGTACGTGTTAGAAGTATTTTTTTAATAACCAGATAAACAAACTCCCAGATAGAACGGCTCCACTCCTGTAATTAAAAATAATTAGTTCCTAACAGTTCTGTGTCCCGTTCGATTTCTCATAGTTAAAAAAAGCAATGTAAAAATCTTTAAAAAAAATGTAAAATCTTCAATCCACTGCCCCACGATTATCTTGTCAATCTTCTTAGATAATCATCGTGTTAACGTTACGTCCGTATAATCTATTAATCTTCAATCTCAAAGGATAAAAATTTCAAACTCGAATTCGAATTGGAAAAAATCGAAACAACGATTCGTACCACGACAAGAAGCTTGGAAGCTTAAAGGAAAAACCTGAAAATGAATTTTTAGAGAAAATGGTCCCATATATAATAATTGCGTCTCTCCTCGAACAATCAACATTGTATTAATAGTCCTTTTTAGTTTTCAGTCGATCTTATTAATTTTTAACTTCGCACGTATGATTAGCGTGTATTAATGCAACGAACATCAAGGGAGAACTGTTATATAATGTCCAATTTCGAAATGGTCACGACAGACGATTGAGAGACGAGAGAATCGAATCCGACAATTTTATAATTTCAACATTGGGTAACGATGCGACGAACACGAAAGCTTCGCAACAATTATTGGCACCGCGATACTCATCTACTTATGCATGTACGGTAATCTTGGTGCTAATTAGAGATTCTGCTAGTCACACACAGATCTGTGGAAGGGTCATTAATTTGTTTGGCGTAACGTAACGCGGGCTCTGTCTCGTTCGAGTTGAAACACGGCGATCGAATTTAGGCCTCGCCGGTGTCGAGACCAAATTTCAATCGTGATAGTGTCACGACTCGTGCAGAACATCGCTGAGTTACTGCAATTCCCAAAATGGTCACGAACGGCAACCAACGATAACCGATCATCTAACACATTTTCTCGCTCTTTTTACAGTAGTAATTTTCTCATCGAATGACAGTCTAGTCGACTTTGACTTCAATAAAAATGACTTGTAACTCACTTTAGAATCGAAATTAAAAAATTTTAAAATACAGCAAAATTAATTTTAAATGACATTGATATTTCGAGTAAGAATATTAGTATTATCATTAGAATTTTAAATACTCGTCGTATTTAGATATTTTGTCTGTAATGATGAAACATCTTGTGTGATTGTAATATGAAATATGAAAAATGGAAAATTTTGCAAAAACGTACCACAAACCAATGGTGATGTGTTTCGCGTGCCTTAAACGGCTGTACGGTGCCACCTGAATCTCTGAGTTATTCTTGAAAGACTGCAATATGTTTATCGCGCTGCAACAGAATTTTTCAAGCGGCCACGATTTATAATACATTAATAATACATGGGTAAAAATAATTTCGTATCGATCACGTTGAGCAACCTGGCCTGATCGACACGCGCGTTACAAAGCAAAAGCTTGGGTTACAATTTTATTAATAACATTAATAAAATTAACAAATAGATACTTGCTAAATTCAATTTCCTCGTCATTTAATCAACAACCATTTTACTATTATCCATTTAGCCACATTATTCGATGTTACTTTTACTTACATGCTCGTTGAAAGATTTGCATAGTCAGGATGAATGTAATAAAAAAATTTGAACACAAAGAACGCTATACAGGACAGAATTTTGTGAAATTTAATTCAACTGATCTAATAGCTCCCTAAGCTTCCCAGTTCTCTCCGTTCCGAAAAAAATTCAAGAAACTCGTCCGGTAATATTAAAAACTGCACAACCATAAAATTATAATTTAGCAAATGAATACTTGGAAGGATGCCAGCAACAAGGAATATCTGACGTTTATAATATACGAGTACGAGATGCGAATGAATCGTGCCGGCCGTTTAATGCCTTGAAAGAAAATGCACACTTGATAGCATATAGAGCACTAGATAATTCGTTTCGATCTAATTCGGGTTCGATGAAGTCAGTCGATCTGATTCACGAGGCATACGACAAGTTCTGCGAGTCGGCGATCTC